TCACAAATAAAGAATAGGAAAATATGAAAAAATATAAAACAAAAAATTGTTGAAATTATTGAATTTAAGGTTACTAAATTTATTTGTGAATTTTGACGTAAATTTTTTATTTTGTTTTCATATTTTTCGCTTTTTATTAATAAATTATTCATTTTCGGGATTTGCCGAAATTTTTTAGAAAAGTTATAGAATGAATACTATATTTATTTGTGAACTTTTGACGTTAATTTATATTTTTTTTCATACTTTTTATATTTTTTATTAGTCAATTTCTCATTTTTGAGATTTACCGAAAAAATAAAAAAATTTAAAAAAATATTAAAATGTTAGATTTAAGGTTACTATATTTATTTGTGAATTTTTTGCGTTAGTTTTATATTTTTACATATTTTTCGTATTTTTTATTAATCAATTATTTTTTCGGGATTTACCAAAAAAATAAAAATTAAATAAAATTGTTAAAAATGGGTTGGATAGTGAATTTTAAAGGAGTTGATTTATGGGTCGAAAATGACAACTAACGCCCATAAGGGAATATTTGGACCAAAAGTTGGACGGCGAGGGCATGAGTGAACCAAACTTTAAATCGAGGATAAATCTAGACCTTTTCGAATAGTTTAAGGGCATATTTGACTCCTTTCCCTTGTTATAGATATATTGAATTAAATGGATTGTCCATTAAGCTTATCATAAACTTATCCTTATCATGGATATGTATTCCCAAGGTGATATGAACCTTTTTGGGATAGAAATGTATCAACTAATGTGACATTAAACATGGTGACCTTTTGGTTGATTTCTCTACCTATAAATAGAGATATCATTTATCATTATTATATACACTTGAATAAGAAGAAAGTCTTATCCTATATCTACTTCTCTTATCTTCTTTCTTTATACATATTATTCTAAGTTTTAATTTTATAGCATGTTATCTGCACGAATATGCTCTAAAAGTTGCAGCACTTCGGAAAAGTGTTGTAGTTGAAACACTTGTGAGCAGGAACGGTATCTATTTATTTTTTCTTATTACACATTTATATTTTCAAGAGTTCCTCTTATACTAATAATTTATTTTAGTAAATATGTGTTATATGAAAGGGTAGAATATATTGATTTGTTTTAATTTAACAATTATATACATTGGTTTATGCTTATACTAACAGTTCTTCGTTCTAGAAAAGAATTGAAGGATAAAGAAGTAAATTTTCATGTTGATTTTCTTAGTTTTAATTATGAGGAACTTATTAATATTTATAATTGCTAGAGGTGAGAAACTCTCAATCTTATTTTAACTAAATTTGCTTCAATAGTTCTTGATTTCATTTAAAGGCTCATGGTTGAGTTCTATTGGTATTGATTTATATGACATTGATTGAAGGGTAAGACGATGGATTCAAGTCCCATCGCACCAAAAGGGTAAGACATCTGGTTAAAGCGCGGATGCACATAATGAAAAATATTTGAGGATAAGACGATGGATTCAAGTTCTATCGCACCAAGAGATAAGACATCAATTTGAATTTTGATGCACCAGATGATAAGGATTGGGTTCAAGTCCCATAGAATTTGGCCTAACACGCCTTATATGGATAAGACATTGAGTTTGAGTCAATGCACCATAGTGATGATATAATGATGACTAAGACTTTAATTATTAAGCATTGAAATTCAATCTATTGAATTTGCTCCATTTCTTGAAAAGAATGTGGCAGCAACATATGATAAATTTGAAATCCGATGTTGACTTGCTCCATTCTATCGTATGAATGTGGTAGCAACAAATAATTAGTCTGAAAGATGACAAATGATTAACGCAATGAAAAAGGGCGTGAAATGACAGAATTATAATAGTCATCGTTGTGTTAATTATAAAAAAAGAACACTATGGGTTCTACAAATAGCCCTTCAAAATGTGAAGGCAATTTTTATCATCAAAACGGTATGAAAGGTCACGCGGTTGTCATGCGACCTTATTTTGATAAATTTTATAAATCCTCCATCAAAATAAAAGAATATAAAGTGATAGTGCACTTTATATTTCAAGGTGATTTTGAGGTAGATCATGTAAATATGTCAAACATAAAGGTATGACATGTATTAATATTATAGTCAACTCATGAAGAGATTGTGACTTGTAATAAGTATGTGAATGTTTGCCTATTCTTGAAAGTGAATATGAAAAAATATGAATAAGAATATATTCATGTATGGTTGGATATATGTCAAACTCACCTCTACGGGAGGTTTGAGAGAAATAAATAAATTTTATTTGACATGAACTATTAATGATTGTGTGCATTTATATGTCATGAATATTATGATATGTTTGTTATGAACTATCGAAATGACAAAAGAAAGAAGTAATTCTTGCCTATAAAGGTTGTGGTCATGATCAGATATACTGAGTGGCAATACAAATTTGTCATTGGTTATGTATCTATGGTACAACAAAAGTAAATTAAGAAACATGTCTTGCTTGTAATAATTTTGACCATTACAATAATAATATAATTTCTCCTTGAAGGAGATGTTCACCATATGGATGGTGTCATGATATGTGATAGTACACAAAATTAATTGCAAGCTCTAACAAGTTGTGTTATTACCAGAGGAATAATATTGGAGCTGTAGTAAGTCTCAAAAGAAACTTTTAAGTTTCACATGAATTGAAAAGAAATATTGAGACTATAAATTATGAAAAGATTATTATCTTCAGATTACTACAATTGAAGTGGGCTATAAATATTTATGTAAACGATTATCCATTTCTTCCTCTTGTTTGTTGCACACAAACGTGGGCATGCTGATGAATTCACATGCAAAAGTAAACTATAAGTGTATTGAAATAAAGATCAGTTGGCATGATTAGTGGACCATTCAGATTAAATGTGATACAAATGTAATTAAGAATTCAGGTGACTTATGTGATGAAGAAATAAAAGATTCTTCAAGAATTCTTTGTGTTGCTTGTTCTCTTGATCTTTGATAAAATGATCATTGTACTAGTTATGGTTGTGATTGTAATCCTCTAAAATTTTTGAAACATATAAAAAGATAAATATGGGCTCATTCATCTGTCATGTGGATCATTTGCAACTATGATAGACGTATCTATGTGATG